ATGGAGGCTAAATAACATGTTATTAAACAATGAATAGGTTACAAATAAGATCAAGAAAGAAATTTTAAAAACTTCCTGGAAACAGATGAAAATCAACATACAACAACCCAAAATCTATGGGACACAGCGAAAGCAATCCTGAGAGGGAAGTTGATAGCACTGCAGACCTACCTCAAAATCAAGAATTTGTTTTAAAAATATATTTTTACTGATTTCAGAGAGAGGAAAGGAGAGGGAGAGAGAGAGATAGAAACATCAATGATGAGAGAGTCATTGCTTGGTTGCCTCCTGCATGCCCCCGACTGGGGATTGAGCCCACAACCCGGGCATGTGCCCTGACTGGGAATCAAACCCTAATCGCCTGGATCCTAGGTCGATGCTCAACAGCTGAGCCATGCCTGTCCGGGCAAGAAAATTTTTAGTAAACTATCTAACGCTACAATTTAGAGAATTATAAAGCTCCCCTGTGAAGCTCTCTGGACCAGGGCGTTTTTGGCTGGGAGGTTTTTTGTTTGTTTGTTTGTTTTTAAATGTTTTTATTGATTTCAGGGAGAGGAAGGGAGTGGGGGAGAGAGAAAGATAGAAACATCAATGATGAGTTATTGATCGGCTGCTTCCGGCAAGCCCCCCACAGGGGCTAGAGCTCGAAACCTGGGCATGTGCCCTTACCAGGAATCGAACCTCAGTATCCTGGATCATAGGTCAGTGCTCAACTGCTGAGCTGTGCCAGCCATGCTGGGAGGTTTTTTTTATTACTGTTTCAATTTCATCAGTTGTTATTAGCCTCTTCAGGTTTTCTGATTCGTTCCGATTCAGTTTTACATGATCTCACTCATATGTGGAATCTAATAAGCAAAATAGACTGAGGAACAAAATAGATCCTGAGACACAGAAGTATGGAACAGACTGATGAATCTCAGTGGGAAGGTGGGCTGGGGGAGTGGGTGGGGGGAGAGTAATCAAAGAGCTTATATGCATATAGGTATAACCCATGGACACAGACAATAGTGTGGTGAGGGCCTGGGGGAGGGGAGGAGCAGATTCGGGGTGGAGGGATCAATGGGAAAAGGGGGGATATCTGTAATACTTTCAACAGTAAAGTTAAATTTTAAGAAAATAAGTGTATTCAAGTGAAGTACTTAAGAAAAATTACATTTTAAGTCAGAAAGGCAAGAGGATGTATTGAGAGGTAAGGTTTTTATATTTCATTCAAACTTGTAAAATGACATGACTAGTAGATTGATAAGTTATCTATTCATAATGTTGCACCTAGAATAACCCCTAAAAATGCTATACAAAGAGATATACTAAAAAACAGTATAGACAAATCAAAATAGAATTTTTGAAAAAGCTCAAGTAACCCACCAGAAGTCAGTGATAAGAAAACTGAAACAAAATGAACAAACACAATTAGAATGCTCTAAATACACCAACTGAAAGAGAGACTGGCACAGTGGATTTAAAAAGTCCTATGTGCTGTCTAAATGAAAGTTCAAATACAGTGTAACTAAATTAAAATACCAGAATAAAAAAGGTGCATCATGCAAACAACCAAGTAAAGCAGGAGTGACTTTATGACTACAAGGTTAGGTCGATCTCAAAGCAGGGAGAGTTACCAGACACAGAGGGTCAGTTCACCTGGAAGACATTATGCTCCTCACTGTATATGCATCAAATAACAGCTTCAAAGAGCTGAAAATTGAAAGGAGAAATAGACAAATCAGCAATTCAAGACTTAAACACCTTTCTCTCAAACACAGAATAGCCAGACCCAAAATCAGTAAGAACTTGTCAACACCATCAACCAACAGAATCTAATCAACATTTATAGAACATTCCACCCAACAATAACAAAGTACATACTATTTTCAAGTGCCCTCAAAAACATATATCAAGATAGACACATCCTGGGCTGTAAAACAACACATAAAAGAAAACAAAAGTTTGTTTACTGGAACAAGTTTTAAAAAATTGAAATCATACAAAAGTGTGTTCTCTGACCACAATGGAATCAAACTTGAAATCAATAAGAGAAAGTTAACAGAAAAATCTCTAAACACTTGGAAAATAAATAACACACTAGAAGAAATAATCTATGAATCAAAAAAGAAGTTTTAAGGGAAATAAAAACATACATGAAAAGGAAATGCAATATATCAAAGTGTGTGAGATGCAGTTAAAGGAGTCCCAAGAGGAAAACCTATAGTACTAAATAAATGTATATGTTAGAAAACAGAAGGTCTCTTAAGTCAGTCATCTAAGGGTCCACCTTAAGAACCTACAAAAATCTACCTTAAGAACCTACAAAAATAAGAGCAAAATAAACTCTGAGTGAACAAATGGAAGGAATTAATCAGTATAAAGGCAGAGATCAATGACACTGAAAGTAAAAATACAGAAAAAGCTGAAATAAGAGCTGCTTCTTTGAAAACAAAGTTGACAAACATCCTGCAAGACTGACTAAGAAAAAGACACAAATTACCAGTATCAAGAATGAAACAAGGAATGTTGCTACAACTCTGTAGCCATCAGAAGAATATCCACCCATAAATTTGAAAACTTAGATGAAATGAACCTATTTCTTGAAAAACAAAAACTACCTTAACTTGCCCAATATGGAATAATTTGAACAGCTGTATAACTTTTAAGGAAGTCCAATTTGAAATTTTAAAACTCCCACAGAAGGACTCTGTAGGCCCAGGTGATTTTACTGGGGAATTCTGCCAAATGTTTAAAGGAGGCTTAACACCAATGCTAGATAATTTCTTCCAGAAAATAAAAGAGAAGGGAACACTTTCCAATTCACTTTATGGGGCAGGTATTAAACTAATATCAAAAGCAGATAAAGACAATAGATAAATCTAAAACTGGACATCAACATGTCTCAGGACTATAGACATGAAAATCCTTAGATTATTAACAAATTGAATTCAACAATATGTAAAAGCAACTATACACCATTACTAAATACCATTTATTACAGGAATACAAGACTGGATCCATATTTTAAACTCAGTTAATGTAACCCACCATGTTGACAGACTGAAGACCAAAACCACATGATTCCATCAGTTGGTGCCATAGAAGTATTTGACAAAATTCAACACCCATTTGTGAAAAGAAACAGAACAGTAGGAACAGACGGTAACTCCTCTAGTGTTTAGAGACGTCCACAACAAATCTATAGCTACTGTACTTGTTATTGCTAATATTTATATAACAAAATTTCTTATTTTAACTATTTTTAAGTATATATTGGGTCCTTGAATAATGTGTTTTCCTTCAATGTCATTTTGTTCTAATGCTGAGATACTGTAGGAAATTAACTCTGGTTTATATTAATTAGCCTATGGTAAAATGATTACACATCATTTTGCTTAAAGTCACAGAACCTATGGAGAATGTTAAGTGAGGAATTAGTGTGCAGTTCAGTTGCACTAAGTACATTCACAGTGTTGTCCAGCCGTCGTTCTCCATTTCCAGAACTTTTTTATCTTCCCAAAGTGAAAGTCCATCCATTAAACAATAACTTCCCCTTCCCCATTTCTCCCCAGCTACTGGTAACCTCTATTTCACTTTCTGTTTCTATGAATTTGCCCGTTCTGCTTACCTGCTATCGTGGAATCAAACAATATTTGTCCTTTGTGACTGGCTTACTTCACTTAGCATAATGTCTTCAAGGTTAATCCATGATGTAGCATGAATCAGAATTTCCTTCCTTTTTAAGACTGCACAATATACAATTGTCTGTACATAATACATTTTCTTTATTTATCTGTTCATAGACATTTGGGTGTTTCCACCTTAGAGCAAATGTGAGTAATGTGTTATGGACATTGGTGCACAGCTATCTGTTTGAGTCCCTGCTTTCAGTCATTTGTTGGAGTCTACAGTAAACTGTATGTTTAACTTTTTGAGGAACTGCCCAACTCTTTTCCATAGAAAGCACAATTTTACTTTTCTCACTAGCAATGCACAAAGTTCTCATTTCTCCAGTCCCTGCCAAAAACTGTTCTTTTCTGTCTCTTTGGTAATAGGTGTCCTAATGAGTGTGATGTGGTATCTCAGTAGTCTTAATGCTGGAGACATAAAGTTTCCCTCCTTATATCAACACGGCAAGGATGTCTGCTCTTACCACTCTTATTCATTATTGTGCTAGAATAAAGTCAAGAAGAGGAAATGAAATGCATACAGATTCTAAGGGCAGAAATAAACCTGTCCCCGTGAGCAAGTGCCATAATTTTCCATGTAGAAAAATCTCAAGGAACCTAGGAGAAAAAGTACTCTGAGAGCTAATAAGTGAGTTCAGCCAGGTTGCAGGACTGAAGATAGACAATCGTATTTCTGTTTCATAGCGATGAACATACAGTCACTGAAATGAAAAATATAATTTAAAAAAGAGGAGAAATTCTTAAGAAAATGTATATAGGACTTGCATGCTGAAAACCCCCAAATGCTGATGAAGGAGATCGAAGAACATCTCAGTAAAAGGAGACACAGCAATGAGTTCATGGAGCTGAGTCAACATATAGTAAAGATGTCAGTTCTCCCCCAGTTGATACATGGGTCTAATGCAAATCTCGTAAAAAATCCAGCAGTATTTTTGGTTGCTACTGATGAGTTTATTCTTAAGTTTATATGGAAAGGCACATGCCCTAGAGGAGCCAAAATGAAGGATGAAGTGGGAGGAATCAGCCAGCTGATTTCAAGGCCTACTGCATAGCTACAGTCATCAGAACTGTTTTTGACAGCGGCACAGACGTAGAGATCAACTGAGCAGAACAGAGGACTCCTAAGTAGACTTACCAGCAACGTGGGCAGGGGATTTATAGTGTTGAACACGTGGCATCGGGGTTCAGGTTAGAAGCCGGATCTGTGGGCCTCGTCCAGGTGCCCCATGGCAGCCTTCTTGCTGCCTCTGCGCTGGTTAGGAGCTTAGGTAAAGTGGATTAGTGGCTGTGGCTGGCTCCTGGGTGAGCAGGGATGTGTTTCTGTTACAGGCATTAATAACCTTCAGAGATGTAGCTGTGGCCTTCACCGAGAAGGAGTGGAAACTACTGAGTCCTGCTCAGAGGACCCTGTATCAGGATGTAATGCTGGAGACCTACAGCCACTTGGTGTCGCTGGGTAAGGACGGCCCTTCTCAGGCCTTGGAGTCTGCCTGTGGGCATTTCAAGGTCTATGCAGCAGCCACCATGCTTTGGGCTGAGAACGAACAATACCATTGTCCCTTTACCCCCAGAAAATGACTGGATTCTATAGATTTGGAAGTAGTGGTTATTTATGGGTGTGTATGCGGAGTCTTACTGCGTTTCATCCCATTAAGTGACTGTTTCCAGGCCTCTTCCTCCCAAGAGATGGTGCTTCAAAGGGGGAATATTTTTTCACTCAGGCACGGGGAGAATCCATGTACTGCCTTTAGGGCCGGATTACCCCCTCCCTCAGTCATTCTTTGGTAGCTTTCAGAGAGCCTTTGCCCTCCTGTGGGCTTCCTCACCCCCTTCTGGGTTATTGCATTCCCCAGCTGACTCAGTTCTGTGACAGCCTTTTAATCCACTAGCACAAGGTCACCTTGGTTTCTTTTCCTGTGAGTAGGAATTGCCTTTTCCAAACCCAAACTCATCACACAACTGGAGCAAGGGGATGAGCCCTGGAGAGAGGAGCGCGAATGTCTTCTGGGCCCCTGTCCAGGTGAGTGGGAAGCACCAGGCAGACAAGGAGACAGCCCCGAGGCGCTCAGCAGGTGCGGAAGGAGTCGCGCCTGTGAGCTCCTGGGGGGAAGCTCTTCTTCAGGCCTCCCTTCCACGCCCTCCTGCTCACCCCAGAGAGGGCCTCCCTGGCACACTGCCCTCCTCCCCCACTCACTCTGCTCACTTGGCATCCCACCTCCAGCACCTCTAAGGTGTCCCTATTTGGGGGCTTTTCTTGGTTGGCTTGATCTTCAACATAGTACTTGCCCTCTGAGCCTATGTCCTCTGCCCCTGCTAGATACTGTCCCCTTTCTGTTCCTGACCTGGTAACATTTTTGTGCATTGGTTCTAGCCCATACTTCCGTTAGCTTTGTTCCTTTTATTTTATGATGGCTTATTTAAGATTACAGCAGGGTATAAAGAATTATGCAGCGAGTGCCACTGTGCCTTCCCTGTATCCTAATAAATGTTGTAAGTCCAGACCTCAGCCCTGTGCCCTCCCTGGCTGTATTTTGCTCCTCCCCTGCCTGAGAATCCAGTTTCTGCATCCCTCCTTTTTATTTGGGCTGTTTCTTTCTGTTACTGATTTGTAGAAATTCCATATAAATTCTCTGAACACTATAGGTCTTTAATACAACTGGAATTAAATTTATGTGAATGTTGGGAGTTAAGGGTAAATTTTTTGTGATTTATCTTTTTTCATTATTTTATTTTCAACATTCCTGGCATTTTATTTATTTATTTTTTATTTGTTTTTTTCTTCTAAATACAACCATACATCTGAACTTGTACTTTATTTCAAATTCACTGCTTCGACCTAATTTGAAAACACATCTGTTATATAAGCTATAATTATAGTATAATCTAGAAATATGTTATTATGGCACAATATTTAAGGGGTAATTATAAGGTATGTTATCAAAGTATAATACATTACATATATTTAAAGTGTTAAATTTGGTAAAGTTCTGATGTGTACAACCATGAAACCATCACCACTGTGCCTCACTGTCCCCTCCTCCCCCCCCATCCCAGGAAACCACTGATCTGCTTTCTATTGTAGAATTGTTTGCATNCTCCCATTCCCAGGAAACCACTGATCTGCTTTCCATCATAGATTTGTTTACATTTCTGGAATTCAGAGGAATTGAATCATACAGAATACATAGTGGATTCTCTCACTCAACATAATTACTTTGAATTTCACACATAGTATTGCATAGATCAGTAGTTCATTTCTTTTTATTGCTGAGTTGTATTTCATTATATAGGTATTACAGTTTATTTAACTATTATATTGAAAGACTCTGGATTGTCTCCAGTTCCAATAAATACAAATAAGGTTTGTGTGAACACATTCCCACCAGCAGTGTATGAGAGTTCCAGATGCTCTGCATCTTTGTCAACACTTGGTATTATTTTAGGTTTAGACATTCTCCTAGCTGTGTGGTGGCATCTTACTATGGTTTTAGTTGACATTTTCCCAATGACTGATGATGTCGAGGATCTTTTCATGTGCTTATTTCCATTTGTATATTTTCTTTGGTGAAATGTGTTCTTAAATCTTTTACCCATTTAAAAAATTGGTTTATTTTTTTAAAATATATCTTTATTGATTTCAGAGAGAGGAAGGGAGAGGGAGAGAGAGACAGAAACATCAGTGATGAGAGAGTCGTCATTGATCGGCTGCCTCCTGCATGCCCCCGACTGAGGATCGAGCCCGCAACCCGGGCATGTGCCCTGACTGGGAATTGAACTGCTATCTCCTGGATCCCAGGTTGATGCTCAACCACTGAGCCACACCGGCTGGGCAATTTCTGATCTTTTTATAATTGATTTTGAAAGTTCTTCATATATTCTGTATAGAAGTTCATCAGATATTTGATTTACAAATATTTTCTCTGTGGCTTGTGTTTCATTCTCTTAGTAGTGTCTTTCAAAGAGCAATTCTTAATTTAGAAATCCAGGTTTCAATTTTTTCTCTCATGAATCTCACTTTTGGTGTTATATTTTAAACAATCTTTGCCTAAACTAAGGCCAAAAAGATTTTCATATTATTTTTTCTTTTTAAAAGTTTAATTTTATTTTACATTTAGGTCCATTATCTATTTTGAGTAAATTTTTATACTGGGTACCAGGTCTGAATTTAAGTTTTTTATGTTTTTTTGCCTACAAATATCCATTTTTTCCAGCACCATTTATTGGAAGGAACCCTTTCTTTACTGAATTGCCTATGCTCATTTGTGGTAAATCAGTTGACCATGTGTGTATGGGTCTATATCTGGTCTCTGTTTTTTTTCCACTCTTCTCTTTGTGTATCTTAATGCCGATACCATATAGTCTTGATTATTGTGGCTTTATAATAAGGCTAGAACTTAGTATCAATCCTCCAGCTTTTTTAAAATTTGCTTTAGTTATTCGAGATTTTTTGCATTTCCATATGGATTTAGAATTAGCCTGCTAATTTTCACTCTCAAAATGTCTACTGGGATTTTGATTGGGGTGTAGTTGAATAGACATCAATTTGTGGAGAATTTACATGTAAATAATACTGTGCCATCCAATATGTGAACAGAGTATATCACTCCATTTTTATGGTACGTCTTAATTTTTGTCAGCATTGTTACGTAGATTTTATGCACCAGTCTTATGCATCTGGTGTCAGATTTACCCCTCTGTTTTTCATATTTTTGATGCTATTTAAATTAAATTACTTGTAAATTTCACTTTCAATTGTTTGTTGATAGTGCATAGAAATACAATTAATTTATGTATAATGATTTTGTATCTGGTAAACTTACTTCTTAGTCCTAATAGCTGTTTTTGTTTGTTTGTTTGTCTTTATTATACAGGATTTTCTACATAGATGATCTTGTTATTTGTGAATAAGTATAGTTTTTGTCTTTCTTTTTATTCAGTATATCTTTAATTTCTTTTTCTTACCTCATTGCACAGGCAGGAACATCCAGTGCAGTGATGAATTTATATGGTGAGAGTAGACATCCTTTTCTCATTCCTGGTCTTATGAGGAATGCTTTCCTCCTAAGTACAAGTTTTATAGCTGCCTTTTATCAGCTTCACAGACTTGTCTCTTAGTCTTTTTTTGATGAGAGTTTTTATTGGGACTGGATGTTGGATTTTATCAAGTGTCTTTTTGGCATCTTTTGATATGATTATGTATGTTTTTCTATTTTAGTTTTTTTTTTTAATTTAGTGAATTGCATTGATTGTTTTTTCTTGTTAAACCAGGCTTGTTTTTCTGTCAGTACAATGTACTGACCTTATTCAGATTTCATCAGTTTTACCTTCACTCTTTGTGTGTGTGTGTTAGATTAATTTTCTGAAATTTTTTCCATGTACATTTATGTAAGTACTGCTAGATTCAAAGATACAGAGTTCCATCAAAAGGATCCCTTGTGCTATCCTTTTATGGCCACAGCTAACTCCCTCTCCTCCCCTCTCTTCCTCTGGCAACCACTAATCTGTTCTCTGTCTCTATAATTTTGTCATTTCAAGAATGTTATACAAAAGAAATCACATTGTATGTTATCTTTGGGATTGCCTTTTATTAATTCAGCATAACTCTCTTTAGATTCATCCAAATTGTTGCATGTATCAATATTTCCTTCTTTTTATTGCTGACTGATTTTCCATGGTATGAAATGTACCAGTTTGTTAAACCTTTCACCCACTGAAGACCATTTGGGTTATTTACAGTTATAAACATTCATGTACAGGTTTTTATGTGAACATAGGTTATTATTTATGGGATAGATGCCCAACAGTGCAATTGCTGGGTCACACGGTAGTGGCATGTTCAGTTCTGTAAAAAGTACCATGCCTATTTCTAGAATGGCTGTGCCATTTTACATTCCTACTAGCAAACGTTTGAGTGATCTAGTTTCTTTGCATTCTTGCCAGCATTTGGTGTTAGCACTGTTTTTTATTTTGACCATACTGACAGATTTCTAGCAATATTTGTTTGGTTTCTAAAAGTGAGGTGTTTAGTGCAAGCAGTTCCTCTCGGAGAGAGCTGGGTAGCTGAGCATATCTGAGTAAGTGCTGGGTATCAAGTCTTTACTCTCCTTGGAAAGAGACTGGAGTTCTCCCTTTGGGTAGGTAGCGCTTATGAGGCCCTGTTCTTGGGTGGCTGTTGCTGTCATCTTGTGTGGTTTTCATGGCATGTCCCTAGCATCTGCTCATTGTGTTCAAATGACCTCTATCCCTCAGATTGGTTGGCAGGTATGAGTGTGTGTTAAGATTTGATCTGACCAATGAATGGTCCTGGCAAAGGTAATCTAACAAGTGGTGAGAGGAAAGGGATAGTCTCCTCCTGGGTCAGCTCATGTGGGTGGGTGACAGGCAGGGACCCACCGGCTCCGGTCCAGGATGTCCATTTGAGCATCTCCAGACATTGCAGTTTAAGAGGGCCAATCCCTGGCATGCTTCTCAGCTGGGTAGGCCCCCTGAACAGTGGTTGGCCCCAGGAGTAATGGAGCATGCATACAATTACCTAGAGTTATTTTTTCTTTTTATGTGGAATTTACTTACAGGAAATGTGAAATCTTAAGTATACTAGCCTACGACTTCAATGCATGTCCCTCCATAACCCAAACTTTATCAAACTACAGATTGCTACTGTGCTCCTATCAGATAGTTTTCTAATGGCCCATCTCAGTCCCTGAGAGGTACAGCTGATCTGATTTTATTTCACTGTAAATTAGTTTGCCTGTTGTACAATTTTGTATAAATGGAATCACGAAATATGTACTCCTTTATAATTGGTTTCTTTCAGTCAATGTAAAGGTGTTTTGTTTTTAAATCTTTATCGATTTCAGAGAGAGAAAGGGAGAGGGAGAGAGAGAGTTGAAACATCAATGATGAGAGAGTCTTTGATCGGCTGCCCCCTGCACACCCCCGACTGGGGATCAAGCCCGCAACTGGGCATGTGCCCTGACCGGGAATCAAACTGCGATCTTCTGGATCCTGGGTCGATGCTCA